AAGATTTCCAGATTGGTTTCAGGTTGATGAATATAGATTCTATTGAGAATGACTAATTTAGGAATCTTCAATTACTGATTTTCAGCACTCAGGGGGTAACACACATACTTCTCTTCTAGGGTTGATACCACGTTGTGGTTTTGTGGTGGTGTGATACACACAGTGGGTTCTAAGGGAATACTATTCTCACAGTAAGAATCATTGTATTTGTTGGTGTTAGCTTCTGAATGCTATTCCCACAGTTCAATACTGCATTAGTAATAGAATACTATATATATGTATATTTGAACATTCTAAAATCACACCCTCAGTGACTGGTTAGAGAATATTAACTGCATAGATATAAATAGCTGTTTGATCACTTAAAAATATATCTTTGCTTCAGTCTCTTGCCTTCTACTATTACAGTTTGACTACTTCTGACATCTTTCTAACTGGCCTCAACTTTAGATCAGATTCCGCGGCAGTGATAGTTGCGAGTCTGAATGCGTAGCAGCTGGCCATTGTAAATTGAAGAGGCTGGCTATTTTTCAACCATAGATGTTTGGTTCCTACCTGTCATATTAAGTAATATCGTATGATGAGTAATATTGAGGTTAGGTGTAGATTGTTAGGTAAGGAGGGGAGTTGATCGATGAGGTTGTGAAGCTGCACAGATTGAGATGGATAGGACATGTATTACGCATACTGAGCTGAATAGTGCGGCGTTATAATTCAGTGATTTATCATAGAATCCTATCGTATCAGTTGAACTTATCTGGTCAAACTGAATTGAAATGAATCTCAAGGTGATTTTTGTCTTAAAGGAGATTTTGTGAATCTCATTACTTTTTATTGACGATATTATCTTTATTATTTGTTTCTCAAACTGCTCGGATTTTGGTGGCTCTACCATCTTGCAACCATCTTGCTTAACAGTTGTCTGGTCACCTTCTCAAGCTCTCCAATTTCCAGTGGCTGTACGGCGTTAACCAGATGTAGCTGTTGAGATATGTGTTCTGGAGCACTCTCCATAAACTGGGACGCTAACATGAGTGCCTAAGAATCTTCGTCCAGTGTTGGTAGAGCGCGATGCAGTAGGCCTGTCAAGGTCATTGCCAATACGAGAGGATCACTGTCAACTCCCAGCTTCGTGGTGCGAAACTGCTGAATTGCCCACTCCCTGTCCATCGGGTTGTCAAACTCCTGCTTCAAGCGTTCAACCACTGACTTCCAAGTTGCTTGCCCTTCTGTTTGCCTCACACTATCATATGCTGCCTTCTCCCAGCCTGTCAGTAGCCTTCCAAGTAAAAGCGTCTTCGCTAATGGCTCTTGCACTCCATTCAACTTTGCGATAGCTCCCTCAAGAAGATCCATATATCTCCTTCTTCAAAAGCTGCAGACCATGGGAGTTTCATTTCGTGACAGGCAGCGACACCGAATGTAACAACAGAAGACAAGGGCTAGGCAACAGATCATCTAAATGCTAACTGTATCTGACTACGCAAAGTCTGCTGTGGTTAGTTGTTGAATCAGTCTTTCTTCATATTTTTCTCACGACCAATATTGAGGACGTAAACATTGCCGTAAATTACTGTCTACCAATTTTGCTAGCAGCTACCTCTCATCATAACAGATTTCGGCCACCTCAATGTGTATTTATTAGTTTACTTGCTTGTGTGGAGCAAAGTATCTCGGCTATACGCAACGTCAAGTCCACAAACGTATTCTGGAACACTGTCAAGCTTAATTAGCCATCCAGAGGAGAAAAGAAGAATAGCAAGAACTCCACCCTCGAACAACTTGTCATCTCCGGCCATCGAGCACCACCCCCCCACCCAATGAATGCTTGACACTGCTACACAAAGTCCCTCAATATCGTACGAAAAGACTATGAATATGCCATCTGTGCGTAGCTGAATCAGTGGCTATTCGGAAGCTGAAAGGAGACCTCTGCATTCAAAAGTACCACATAAACTCACACAAACTACCGTGACCAGAGTAACGTTCTTACTATAATTTTGCTTCTTTTTATTATGTAAGTTCACTATTATTATTATTATTATTATCATCATTATTATTACCATACGTGTAAAACTTCGGCACTCTGGTAGTAAGTAATTCCATATTAGTTTGTTTATTAGATTTATCACACAGTGAAACAGTATTATCTACTGGATGACGTTTCGAACAAAATTTATTGTTCATAATCATATCAATCAACTATAATCACACGACTTTGAAACTTGAGTTTTATAGTTTTCTTCGTTCTTTCCTATTCGTCGTCGTAGAAGCAGTAGAATTTTCCAGATGTCTGGGACAGGTGCTCAATCATTCCTATTGCAGGCATGTATTTTCAGTTGATTCGATACACAAAGCTTCTGTTATCAACCTCTCCCTCCACCATGCTATTTGCATTAGATTTTAAGACTGTCATCCTATCCCATTCATCCTATTGTATGGTTGTGTGTAATTGCATATAGTGAGTGCTATAGCTGGCTGAACCATTCTCTAGATTTCTTATCTTATTTGGGTCAACTAATCTAGATTTCGCTGCTAGGTTTTTATGTTCGGCTAGTCTGACTTCCCCTGTTCTACTAGTTTGACCTACGTATTGACCTGACAATCATTGCAGGCAGAGTATTAGATAAACTAAATTGTTTTGTTTAATTGGCTCCAATGGCAGGATCCTTTGACGGACAAAGCTTGTTTCTAATTGAGTTTGTGGTTGGTTTGAATGCCAGCCACTTTCCTTATTCCTGCCTTGTTAAGAATTCTGCGTAAGGTCGTTTCCGAGGTTCCTTCTTTGTATGGAATTACTACTGATGATTTAGATTCCTTATTCTTGGTGTCGTCATTAATATTATTATTATCACTATTATTATTATTATTATTATTACTATCGCTACTATCATTATTTATTTTATTTTTACATTTTCTCCACCATACTTTTGGGTGAAGGTATGTAGATGACACATTCACTGGACTGAGAACACAATCTTGAGACTTAATAATTACCCGGATAAATTAGTAAGGAAATGTGTAATTAAATGTAAAAATAAAATAAATAATGATAGTAGCGATAGTAATGATAATAATAATACTAGTGATAATAATATTAATGACGACACCAAGAATAAGGAATCTAAATCATCAGTAGTAATTCCATACAAAGAAGGAACCTCGGAAACGACCTTACGCAGAATTCTTAACAAGGCAGGAATAAGGAAAGTGGCTGGCATTCAAACCAACCACAAACTCAATTAGAAACAAGCTTTGTCCGTCAAAGGATCCTGCCATTGGAGCCAATTAAACAAAACAATTTAGTTTATCTAATACCCTGCCTGAGATGATTGTCAGGTCAAATACGTAGGTCAAACTAGTAGAACAGGGGAAGTCAGACTAGCCGAACATAAAAACCTAGCAGCGAAATCTAGATTAAGTTTTTATTATTTTTTTTATTTTTTTTTAATTTTTTTAATTTTTGATTACAGCTTGATTCCACACCGTATTTTTGGTACAAGTATGGAATTTTCAGCATGGATGTCGGTAGCCCAAATTTCGCGGGCCGACCATAGATATCAAGGTGTGCGTCGGCGTGGGCTCGAACCTCGGACCATGTGCATGGTCGGCGAGAGTCCTAACCACTGTGCCACCGACCCGAATAAGATAAGAAATCTAGAGAATAGTTCAGCCAGCTATAGCACTCACTATATGCAATTACACACAACCATACAATAGGATGAATGGGATAGGATGACAGTCTTAAAATCTAATGCAAATAGCATGGTGGAGGGAGAGGTTGATAACAGAAGCTTTGTGTATCGAATCAACTGAAAATACATGCCTGCAATAGGAATGATTGAGCACCTGTCCCAGACATCTGGAAAATTCTACTGCTTCTACGACGACGAATAGGAAAGAACGAAGAAAACTATAAAACTCAAGTTTCAAAGTCGTGTGATTATAGTTGATTGATATGATTATGAACAATAAATTTTGTTCGAAACGTCATCCAGTAGATAATACTGTTTCACAGTGTGATACATCTATTATTATTATTACCATTATCCGTGTTTTGTTGTCACCCTACAACTGTTTATTAATAATAGTATGTTTTAATACAGATTTTATTGAATTAATTTACCGTCTTCCCACCGGTTCTTATCCACTCTGCACAACTGTATTGATTAGTCATTTTCTGACACACTTATTACGTCATGCCAGCTTCTGCCCTCTATTTTCTAACTTACAATTAATCACCCCTTCTAGAATGCGCCTTACATTATCTAACACGTCTCTCGAGGACAAAATTTACTAGTGTCTGATTGATTGGTCTTCTAAATTCTTTGTTAAACAAAATTACGATTTTACTGCAGCTTATGAAAATGAATCGTCGAATGGGGAAAATTTCCTTCGCTGTTTACGTCTTTTTTTTTGCATATGACTCAATATGTGAATATTTCGTTCATATTATTTTCTGTCTAAACTGTATTTTATTATGACATTACATTGAAGCTATCGCTTTGAATAACTTTGAAAATTCCGCCAAACAAAATTTAAATTTTAGAGAACCGCGAAATCAGTGTCGGTAAATTCAAAACATTAGTGAATTATTAGTCTTAGGAAGCCGAAAATTCTTATCTTCTCTCCCTCTTTCCCATACTATACTTTCTCCGAATTATTCTAACCCTTTAGCTAAAACAAAAATTCAGGTATTTCTTTTTGTAGATTCAAAAGATGCCAGAAAACTGTAATAAAATCCTTCTTCAACTTATTTTTTAAAAAGTTCGCTTAAATATTATTCAATGTTCAAGTCAATATTCAATAGATTTTAAACAAAATTAAACTTTCACTTTAACACCATTGTGATTATTGTTATTATTATTACTGTTATTATTAACATGAATAAATTTATTTTAAAAGAAGTTACGCAGTCACCACCAAAATGAGATGGTTGTTTCACATTCTTGATGACCAATTTCGAAACTGTTTATTATTGATAATAATAATATTATTATTCAAGGACAGTAATATGGAGGACGTCCATCATCGGAGAATCTTCCAAACCAATAATTATCATAAGTTACTCCAAAATATTCTAAAGAAGCGAAAAAGTCAATATTTCTTGCCAATGGTATTATACCAACAGTGAATGAATAACGTGAATGTCCAGGACGTACACCTTTATCAGGATAATCTTCTACTTTTGGTTTGCGCAATCGTAGCCAACACTAAATTTTGCAGAAGTGAAAACAAAAAAAATAAAAGCGAATAGTAATCGTCAGGTGTTAGATTAAGAGTTGATATCAGATAGAGAACCATTGAAGCTCAGGAAGTACATGATAGATGTTGTTTCGTCCTGATTTGTGACTTTTCATCAGTAAGTACCTATGATCTCATCGGTAGGGATCGATGACAGGACTTTTATGTTGTGGAGGAATTTTAAACACCAGACAAACATCTAACCAGTAATTCTTGGTTTTCATTCGTTCTCCAACTCATATCAGTTCGTGCTCCAACCAGATATAAAGAAAAGACCTTCTTACCTTACCAAGTTTTGTTAATATTCAAGTATTGGTTTATAGGGATTTAATTGATTGGTTACAGGATTTCATCATGAGCTGAAATCAGTTAAAGAACTACTGGAAAACCAATCAGGGAGTACTGGACAGCTGTTTCGTCCTAGTTTGGGACTCTTCATCAGTACGCACTCAGGACCTTCTGTTTACAAGGTTAGCTAGCTTGTAGACCATTAAGCCATTGGGACCCGATCCAATGGCCAATCGATGAATTCTAACTTCTGCCAATTCACGACATAGTGTGACCACTATCGAATGTCTTCGTTGGCGAGTATTTGTCCTCACATCCGACTTGCTACACCCTAATGCTAACGACTTCCCACTAGAATCCTAGGTAACTACCTACCTGAATAGGGACAGTCACCAGTGAAGGATACAAATAAACAGTAGTCGGCTCATTCGTTTCTGCTGGAGTTCACCATGAATGTCTTCAAAAAACTGAGGCTCACATAGGTTAATTGTTCAAATGGACATTATGGTTGTAGGGTTGAAACACTCAAGTTATCTCATATTGTAAAGCAACTCTCAGTGTCTTTTGATATATTGCCTCTTAGTACGGATGTTTTGACAACAGAGACATTGAGCATTTCGCTCCAGAATATGCTAAATAACTTTAAAATATGACAGCTGATACCCGTTACACATGAGGTAGATATTTTCGCCCAACGGCATAGTGAATAGCTCTTTGATGTTGGAAAAGGTGGAGGTGGGTTTGTGACTTCTAGTTTCAACGGGAACACCGTCTCTCATTGGGAATGAAAGTACATTCGGCTGTAAATTCTCCAGATTTCTAGTCTTATTCGTGTCAACTAACCTAGATTTTGCTAAGCTTTTGTGCTCTACTAGTCTGACTGCCCATGTTCCACTAGTCTGACCTATGTATTTGACCTGACAATAATTGCAGGCAGGGTATTAGACAAACTAAATTCACCCTAATAAGATAAGAAATTTGGAGAATAGTTCAGCTACCTATAGCACTACATGCAATTACACACGATCTTACACGATAAGATGGATGGGATAAGATGACAGTTTTAAAATCTAATTTAACAGTAGAGTGGAGGGAGATATTGATAACGGAAGCTTTATTTATCGAATCAACTGCAAACATGTGTAATAAGAATGATTCAACACCTATCCACACGGAAATCTAGAAAATTCTACTACCCCGACGACAATGAATAAGAGAGAATAAAAGAAACTATAAAATGAAAGTTTTAGAAGTTGTGTGGTTATAATTGATAGATATGATTGTGTTCGAAACTTTGTCATCCAATTAACAACATTGTTTCACCATGTGATATATCCAATGAACAAATTAATAGGGAATTTAGATATGATAGAGAAGATTTGTAGCTCAGGTGGATGATTTTAATGTGATTGTGTTCTCTGAACTGCACAGTTAATTTGCGAAGCTATCATCGCCTGCTACTAGGCGACATCTTCAGTGCATACTTCAATTTAAATTGAAGTGAGCTTTTAAATTTCTCCACGAGTTTATCAATCATCTCTTCCAGAACTGTTCCAATACAAGTAACCTAGAAGGTGTGAAAACACACAAAAACAACTAATCACGTCCAAGGTCAGGGCACCAGGAGAGATGATTAATAAACTCGTGGAGAAATCTAAAAGCTCACTTCCTTCAAATTGAAGTATGCGGTGAGGATGTCGCGTAGTAGGGGGCGATGAAAGCTTCACAAATTAACTATCCAGCTCAGAGAACACAATCACATCAAAAATAGGGAATTTGCCACATTAGTTGCCATCTGACGACTAATTTACGTACATGATTCGCTTCTGTATGAGGGATAGTCTTCAGTGACTTAAACGACTGACTTCATCACTAAGAAGGTATTGACTTGAGACAAATAATAAACACGTCAATTCCTCTCTGTTGTTTAAGGTCGAACAATCCATTTCTAATATGAATAATAATTACTATGCGGCTTTGCTTTTTATGAGGGATGAAAAGATGACGTTTATGGTTAAAGAAGTGCCAATTTTAACATCTTCATTAGCGCACTCCTATAAAGCAGTATGTAACGGATTCTTACTCAGTTTGACTGATCGCCTGACCCAATCTTACGCAATTCAAGTATTACAAAAGTTTGTGACTACAAAGACAGCCATCCATGTTTCACCTGTTAACTGGAACAGACGTGAGTTTCCAAATGGGTGACTGATCTGCACTTACAACATAGAACTGCATAAACACACATATAAAGGTAAGTGAAAACAAGAAAAGCGAAATGTAGGACCTTATATACTACTGATTTGCTGATTCAGTAGTTGGATACCAATCAAATGAATCAATCAGTGAATTAATTCGTAGAATGTGGCGTCCTGCGTTTATTTGTTTGCTTTCTTGATTTCCATTTATGGGATATCAAGCAGATCACTTATTGTGATCGGAATAATAATTTCGGTGTCTAAAGGGAACTGTGGTGAAATTCCACCTGGAAGTGTGCATAGGAGAAAAAATAATCACACGGAGAGGAGAAATGATAGTTGGACGGATGTGGGAGACCATTGACAGTAAATGCCTGTAGTGCATTGAGAAAGATTTCAAGCATTGTTGTCGTCATGTTTTGGATTCACTACCCATAACTCTTTTACGACACAGTCCTAGGTCACCAGATATTGTTTGACAAAGAAGACAACGACTTAGCAGGCATAAAAGGCATTTCTTGGCCATCTTAATCAATACAGTCAGCTACTCTTCTCCCTGTTCTGAAAATGACATTCAATGCAAACCAATTTTGCAGCATTATTAAAGTTTTAAATGTCTACGGGAGAGAAACAAGATGAGAAGTGTGGGTTGGTTGGATAATAAGTGATATTATAATTCCAATGGGAATCAGATGTTTGAATATGTCGGTTTTGTAAACTGGAATTAGAAAGCCGACATTGAAAACGTTGACCAACTGGTATGGTGTCGTACCCTATTGGATAACACGGTAAAAATAGCATTATTGTTATTCTGTTGGGTTCCAAGTAGAACATATGTCTTCGCTTTGTCCTATTCTCCGTGGTCCTGCCTTGCGGGTTCCACGACTGCCCGTCATCTCTGATCTGCTCCTTGAAGGACCTCCCTAAGTAACCCTCAGACGCCGTACTCCATTTCTTTTGGAATACTTGTTGAGCAATAGGTTCCTCATTAGCTTGTTCTAAGAGCTCCCTGTTGCTAATTCTTTCTCGCCGGCCGTCTGACCTCCATATGAGGCGAAGGCAGAGGTTGACAAGCGTCTGAAGTTGCCTTTTTAGAAATGATTTAGGTGATTCTCCAGGTTTCTGAGTCAACTGGAAGAACTGACTGACTTAACATGGGTTTGGAAAATTCGAATCTTATTCTTTATTCTGAGTCAGTACATCAGATTTCCAAACTGATATCACAGTGATGAAGGTCTGTCTTGCCTTTCTGATTCTGGCTGTGATAACTTCATCTTTGCTGTCTTCAGTTGAAATGCTCCTGCCTCCTAGATAAGTGACTGGTGCTGGTTGTTATTGGTTGGTTGGGTATTTTTATCATTTCTGTGCCTTCTCTGTGGTCACTTGAAATTATGTCTTTGCTGCCAGCCTCATCTGCCAACTTGTTGGTTTTTAGTCTGTTAGTCTTCGAATTTATGTCACCTGAGAGAGGTGACGACTTCAGTTATCGTTTATTATTAATTTAAAAGAAAAGGCGTTCAGTGAAGAGTTACTCCTCCTTTTCGGCGGTATCATTCTCAAGCTGAACAACCGCATGAATATAAATGGTGAATTTTCTTAGCCACAAAGGGAATTACGTGATGTTGGGAGTGTTAATCGGGTAGAAACTGCAATGAAATTCAATAAGTAAGTTGATATAAGAATAAAACTTGTGCACTGTGGTAGAGTGTAATTCCATTATGGGTAAAATTTGTTTTGATAAAGTCTCACAGTGCTGTTATACGGTAATGTTTACTAATGATCATAATTCGAGCACAATTTATTACTGCTCATAATCATATCAAGGTACTCCTCACACGACTTCTCAACTTCATTTATATAGTTCCATTATTTTTCATTTTGATTTTCACTTGATTTGATTGGTGGTAGTATTTTCCATATTTCAGGTATGAGTGACGAGTCATTCCTATTGCATGTGTTGGGTGTAGACTCGATGAACAAGGATTCAGTAATCAACCCCTCTCTCCACCTATTTAGATTACTTTTTAGAACTTTAACCCTCTCCCACCTACTCTATTGTGTGGTTGTGTGTTAATGCATGCATTGCAAATGCTGAGCTTTTTTCTAAATTACTTATCTTTTCAGGGTCAACCATTCTTACCTTAGCTAAATTCTTATGTTCTGACAATCTGACTACCCCTGACCTACTAGTTTGACCTGTGTAGTTGACCTCACAATCATTGCAGAGTATTTTGCAAATTTTATTATTTTGTCTAATTGGGTCAACTGGTTCCTTAAACCTACACAGCTTGTCCTTGAGTGAGTTTGTAGGTTTAAATGCCACTCTAATTCCTGCTTTATTTAGAATCCTACGTAGGTCTCAGGTGTCCCCTTTTTATATGATATAACTGTAGATGACTTATATTCTCTCTTATTTATGTTATTATTAATAGTTTCACAATTGTTTTTATTTTTCGTTTGGCCTTTTGCGATCTTCCTCATGA